AGGTGAAGATAACAAGTGGGTAATGAAGGGTAGACCATAGAAAGAGTGGCTTAACTGGTGCAGGGCAAGGGAAGGGACCATGCTAAGGGCACTTATTGGAATGGTAGGTGGCTTTAAAATTGCAGCCCAAATGTATTATCTACATAGTAAATTAACCATTAACAGGAGTTCTTCTGTCCCTGCTTCTAGATTTGGAAAAGTGTGTATAACAGTCTGAACATATAGTGAAAGTTGTGCTGGGGCTGCTGAATCACAAAGGCATTTGTAAAAGAAACATTTTTTTTAATTTAAACATTTTTTGTTTAAAGCAAATCTGTAAAACTTGGAAAATATAAGGATATACAAAAAAGCCATAGTTATATTTTGGTATATCTTTCTAGTCCATTTTCCTTTTTAGGTAATTTGCATTTTATTTTCTTATCATTATGAATAGTAAAGTTCACAGTTCAGTTCCCAGGCAACATAAAAGTGAGTGTTTTACATATAAGACACCCATGTGTAATGTGATAACATGGGGCTTTGGGGGTTTTTTTGTTGTTGTTTTTTGGATTTTTATGAGCCACTGTGATGTACTAGTCTGTTAAAGGCCATCACACAATTTAAAACTGTGCAGTTATAACAAGGCAATCTTCAAGCAATTAAAAACAATGAATTGTTGAACCAGCCTGGGAGATCTATTGAGTAATCTGGCCTTTCAAGTAATGTCAAGTGGAAACCCTGTTTTCTCTTTCCTTCTGAGGATCATTAAAAGAAAAAACAAACCTAAACTAAACAAAAAAACACCTGTTCTGAGTGAAAGTCAGGATTCAGCCCATGTGACTTGGAGACATACTCTTCAGCTGGTTGGTGGAGGCACTATCACTCCAACATGTGCAAGAGCACTGAGAGGTCTGCCTCCATGCCTGCGGCCCATTGTGCAAGCTCTGGAAATTGGTGTTTCCTGAAGCACTGCCATCAACAGACAAAGGCCTCCACTACCTGCAAGTGCATATTGTGGGGATGATTGGCCTTACAGCAGTAGATGTCTATCTGGAGCAGTACCAAAGACAGCACCACTTGCTTCCACTTAGGGCCCAGACTCTGGGCCCACTGACTAATCTACCAGTTTGATGCCGAGCTGTTGGTGTGTGAGGGGATCCCAGTCATTGTGTCACTGGTAGGTGGCTCAGTCATGGTTTCTTCCCATGCTTTCTCCAGCTTCTCCCTTATTCACGAAAATTCCTGTAGGGAATCTAGAAAAGTATCAAATGCTTTGAGACCCCTGGAAAGTAGGCTATTCAGCAGCAGCATTGTTTTCTGGAGGCTTGTGGCTTGATCTTTGATTTCTTGAACATGTTTTCTGTCAAGATTCCTTCCTGGTAAAGTTACTGAAGAAGCAATCCCTCCACCAATACCTCTGCATCCAGCTGCAGGCAAAGTGAGCAAAGCACTTTTTGTCTCTCGACTCCATTTCTCAAGTCTACAACAATGTATCTTTGAGGGGAACAGAATTCTAGTCCATTTTTCTAAGTAGTATATATTTTTAACATAATTGGGAATATACTTTATATACTGTTTTTATTTTGTTTTGTTTTGTTTTGAGATGGAGTCTTACACTGTCGCCTGGGCTGGAGTGCAATGGCACAATCTTGGATCACTGCAACCTCCCAGCCTCCCAAGTAGCTGGGATTACCTAATCAGTGTCATAAATTTACATACAATACTTTAATCTGCCATCCATACTTCGTTTTGTCAGTTGACCTAACGATATCTTTTATAGCATTTTCTCTTCTAGTACAGAATCCAATCTGGAGTCCGTTTACTTGGGTATCTCTTTAGCCTCCTTTAATCTAGAATATTTCCACAGTTTGTCTTTGTCTTTTAATGACAGTGAATTTTTTAAGAAGATCAAACACCGCATGTTCTCACTCATAGGCGGGTGTTGAACAATGAGAACACACGGACACAGGGAGAGAAGCACTACACACTGGGGTCAGTTGGGGGGAAATAGAGGAGGGACGGTGGGGAGTGGGGAGTTGGGGAGAGATAGCAAGGGGAGAGATGCCAGATGTAGGTGATGGAGAGGAAGGCAGCAAATCACGCTGCCACGTGTGAACCTATTCAACAATCTTGCATGTTCTTCACATGTACCCCAAAACCTAAAATGCAATAAAATAAATAAATGGGAAAAAAAAGAGTGCAGAACCCCTCACACTTTTTAAAAATAGAAAGTTCTTCATTATGTATTGGTCTGATGTTTCCTCTCTATTAGATTAAGGATGTGTATTCTTAGCCAGAAAACCACATAGGGAGTGATGTGTCCTCAGGGTATCATATCTGGAGGCACATGATAACCATTTGCCCCTAACTGGTGATGTTCATTTTGATCACCTGATCAAGATGTTGCTCAATTTTTCTGCATAATTGCTGGGGTGTTTTGCTCTCTTTCAATTAATAAGAAGTCTAGAAGAGACACTTTAAATGCATGTGAATATTCTGCTTCTCACCAAAATTTATTCTTAGATATAGCATCCATTAATGATTTTTGCCTGATCTCAGTTTTACTATAGTGATTCCTAAATCATGACTTTTTAAAGTTCCAGACCATCCTCCCCATTTATTAGTTAGGCTTTAGCATTCTACAGTAAGCAAGATCCTACCTTCATCTATTTATTTATTTATTGTACAGACTCATGAATTCCTATCTTTTAATGGCTTATAGTTTATTACTGTACTGAATTATTGTCCTAGGCTTAGTAAGTAGAAGGCCCTTCAAACTGGCTCTTCTGACATTAGAACATTATCTCATCATCTTTTGTAAACACTTTCTTACTTTCTGTCATCACAAGATATTTCGGATATACTTACTTTGCCCCAGGCTTGAAATGAGCCATTTCTATGAGTAGTCCTGGTTCCTCTAATAGAGAATGTTGATAGAAGCCAAGATATGGGTTCTGAGTGTGCTCATGTGCTACTTGATTGTAGTGATGGCTTCATGGGCATATACATATGTCAAACCTGTCAGGTTATACACTTTAAAGATATGCAGTGTATTACATGTCAACATGGTACCTTAATAGGGACATTTTACAAAAACAGGGTAGTAGTAGCAGATAACATTTTTAATGGCTTTAAAATAAAAGCAAAATTAAAATATAGTGTTCAGACATAAAACTTAGATAATAAAGCCTTAAGGAAAATCGGTGATAACAATATTATTCATGAGAATGGTTACTTTTAGGGAGCAGGGAATTGGCTATGATTGGAACCAGGGACATAAAGGACTTCTAGAATAGCTGGTAAGGTTTTATTTTTTGACCTGGTTGGTAATCACCAGAATATCCTTCTTACAATAATTCATTATATTATATAATTGTTTTATGAAATTTTCTGTATCTTACAATTTTGTTATATTTTACAATAAAAAAGCTTTAAAAGTAAATGAATATTGTGTATGTTCATGATGATTTTTACATTATTACTTACTAAAAATTAAAGTCATTCTGAAAGGAGGACATTGATAATCTAACCTATTTCATTGTGTAATTAGCAAGCTATTTTGAGATGCATTCAGATTATGTCTTAACTAGTTAATAAGTAGTTTGAATACATTTAAATTGGATATGAATTTTTAAATATATTAACCTTTTGAATATTGTTACAAAACCCAATCATATAAGATCAAGGCAAATGTTTATTTCAGTTTTAGATCTTCCATCTAGTTCTTTTTAATGGTTTTTATTTTCATGCTGAGATTTCTCATCTTTTTATTAATTAGAATAGATTTTCCTTTATATCTTTGAGCAGAGTTAATAATTTCTTCTTCAAAAATCTCTGTCTGCTGATTTCAGTATCTGGGTCATCTCAGAGTCAGTTCCTATTAACTATCTTTCTCTTTATAATGAATCACACTTTTCTGAATACTTTTTTACTATGTTCTGGACATTGTGAATGTTATGTTATGGAAAGTCTGGATTCTGCTATAGTTCTCCAAAAAATATTATCATTGTTGTTACTGATAGTGATGAAGTGTTGTCGCTTTATCCAGGCAGTTAACTTGGCCTCAGATGGCAATTTCTGTCCAGGACAGCAGTTCAATCTCAATTCAGTTCTTTTTCTTTTTCTTTGGTTTTTTTTTTTTGGGACGGAGTCTTAGGACTGTCACCCAGGCTGTAGTGCGGTGGCGCGATCTCAGCTCACTGCAATCTCTGCTTCCTGGGTTCAAGCAATTCTCCTGCCTCAGCCTCCTGAGTAGCTGGGACTACAGGCATGCACCACCACACCCACCTAATTTTTTTTTATTTTTAGAATTTTTAGAGGTGAGGTTTCACCATGTTGGCCAGGATGGTCCCAATCTCCGGACCTCATGATCTGCCCGCCTCAGCCTCCCAAAGTGCTGGGTTAGTTCTTTTCCTTTAACTAGGTTGCTTTGGGATCTGCTTAATACATGTGTAGTTCAGGGGCAAAATTTATATGGAGTATTTGGGACTCTCTTTCCCTGCTCTCCCCTATTCAGCATTCTTTCTTTACTTTCCAACAGCTGTGGTTGCCCCAAATACCGTGCCGTCTGGTTCTTTGGACCAGAAAGATTGAAGATTTCTATACGAGTTTTAGTTCTCCTGCAGGGTGCTGACTGGGCCTGTCCTCAGACTTAAAACTATTTTTAATAATCCAGCCCCATGTTGTCACCTCATTCCAAGTGTCAACTTCCCTCCAGAGTCTCCCTACTTTTGGTCACTTTCCAATACCGTCACATGGGTATTTTGGTGTTTTGATTTCATTTATTTGTTGTTTTTGTTTTTTAATGTTGTCCAGAGTTTATACTTTTTATTTACATGCAGATCAGTCTGACAGAAGCTTAGTTGGCCACTACAGAAATGAACTGAATGTTTATTTCTTTAAACAAATAATAATATGAAGATATTAAGAAATTCCTTCTATTGATGAGTAAAATAATGCCACAGAAAAACACATACTTTATTTTGAAATAATATGTTTGAATTTCTTTTGTATTATTTTAGGAATAAATCTAATGAAGCTGATGACTGTCAAAGAGAACTGAGAAAACTGAAGTTTGAATCCATTATTTCTGAGTCACAGTATGCATTACCGATTTTTCAATTCATATTTTTAATAATTGAACTTAAAACTGTTTTAAGTAACATTTTATTTAAAAGGCTCTTAGCATTTCTTATTTTCTTGTTATTTACATAAACAATACCTAATTCAAGCTTATAATGTCTTGTAGTTAGTTATTGCTATTGCCACTGCCTAGATGGGAAAATGTTAACATTATAGAACCATTCATTTTTTTAACATTTTTAATTTTTTTAAAGCCACAGTTATAATCTATAATTTCAAATGAACTCTTTATACATATTTGATAAAGATAAAATGTAGTATATAATGCATGTTGGTGTTTTTTTTTTTTTTCCTATTTCTTTTTAGCCTTACAATGCTGCTTAAAGAAAAAGAAGACTCTTTAATGACTTGTCAACAAATATATAAAACATTACAGGAAGAGCTGACTGCAAAAGAAAAGCAAGAAGAAGACATAAAGAGAAGAATTAACCTTGCAGAAAATGAACTGGAGATAACCAAAACTCTTCTGAATCAGACAAGGGAAGAGGTTTTAACACTGAAAAATGAAAGGTGCAGTCAACAATAATTTTTTACAAAAACATTTTATGTTTAAGTTAGTATTCCATATATATTTGAAACATCAGTGTCTGATGTATTGTAACAATAGTGAAGTCACAATTGGGACTAAAGATATATTTCTCTTACACGGTCATTGCATCCCACTACCTCATTTTGCAAGTGATTAGACTGAAGCCCCGATTGGTTACATGACTTGGTAAAGTTGCAGTTGGTGAATGTAGGAGTGAAGCCCCGGTTGCATTTGGTGTCAAATTTTTATTTAAAAAAAATCAGACCATGTGTGATACTTGTACTACTAAATTTCACCTGGGTCAGTGATTTGTAGATTCTATCATTTTTTCCAACAAAAAACATCTTTTTATATCACTTTTCCTGTTATTGGTGCCTACTTTTCTTCTCTCCTCCTTGTCTGTCAGCACATCTTGTTGAGGATATGCCACAAGCAAAGGTATCTCCTTATGGGTATCAAGGATACTAAGAAGCACATTGGTTCAGGCTCCCAAGATACTTTTGCTTAGTTAATTTACCTTTAAATTAACCTTATCTGTAATTAATATTTCAACCTTGCTTGCTTTTTGTTTTCATTTGCCTGTTATGTCTTTGTTCATTCTTTCTGAATCCTTTAGTTTTAAATGTATATTCGATATATAGCACAAATTTTGGGAATTTTTTTGGTTTGTTTCATTGGTTTAAAAAATCTGGGCATCTTTAAGAGGTTTTTTCATTTACATTTACTGATGTAATATATTCACTAAACACAAGTTTCATAAGGGCAAGAATTTTTGTTTTGTGTCTTTTCTGTGGACAGAAAGTACATGATAAGTTGTTTTCATTCTTCCTATCATGTTTACATTTTAGTTTATATTTTATTAATTTTATTTTATAAATATAATTTAGAATAGTTACAATTTTTTTTTAGTTCTTTGTAAAACTATTTGCTGAGCCTGGGGGTGGGGCCAGGGGAGTGGTAGCAGTTAGCTTAGAATTAGATTTTTTGTCTTGGAACTCTTTCTGTCAACACTTCCCTGGGTACCATATCTGTTTCTATGCCAGGCAAGCAGGAAGTCTGTGTAGTTTATAGGAAAACAAGGCTTATCTCTCATCTTTCCTGAAATGATTTTATAATTACTTATCTTTGGTTGAATACGATGAGTAACTGCAGAACTGATATTTTCCCACCATTTATTCTTCACCCTTCAACACCAATAGTGTACCTTATACTTACATTACTATTCCACCTCACCTCCTCTGCCATTTATTAGAAGCTGCAATTTTATAACAAGGAAATGTATAAAAGCCAGACTTATTAATTAAAAACGGAATGATAGCTGAAAGATTGAACATGTGTAAGCAGAGATTTAAAACTATATATGCTAACATATATAGTCAGAAAGATTAAAATCAGTTATATATTCTATAGAAAAAGCACACATCATACATCTTTGAAAAGACACCATGGAACAAATAAAAATTTTCAAAGTATCTGGTTTAGAATTTTGATTATCTTAGCAGTTCCTACATTACCTAGAATATCCTATTTCCAGTGATGCCAGATTAATTAGACTTAACTGTTTAGTCAAATGAACGCTGTCTCCTTCACTGAAGTCATTGAAAAGATCCTATCCTTGTCTAATTGTTTCTGGAACTCTTCTCTGAGGACTGGCTTAAGTGCACATTTTATACTTTCGTCAGTATAACAGATCTTTACCCTTTAGGAATACATTTGATAATTGAAACAGTCTCATATGGGTCCAGTGAAAGTAAGTCCAGTGAATATCTGGAAAATACTATTGGGGATCAAAAATAAATTTTTCTCTTTTTTCTATGTCCAATAAATTATCTCTGACTGCAATTTGAAGAAGGGAGTTTTATGAATGCTTTGAGGGTTAGTAACCTCAATAGAATATATAAAGCTTTCTTGGGGGATTGCTTTAAAATAGCATACACCTGGATGTATGTGTTTTACCATGTTTTTTAAAAATTATTATGACTATAATCTTACCCTCTAAGTGTTGAATGAGAAGAACAGTTCCTATCAGCTTTCAGAGAATAGTTACATCACTGAACTAACTCCTATTCTTTATTTCTCTTCTTTGTTTTCTCATATTATTGCCCTTGTACCTTCTTTGTTCTCTCTGCTTTAGTCTATCCAGAAACATACATGATATAACTTAGTCATTGGTAACACTAAGTTTACAGACATGATGTCTCTCACATAATAAATAAAAATGACCAGGTGTAGTGGCTCACACCTGTAAGCCCAGCACTTTGGGAGGCCAAGGCACGCAGATCACTTGAGGCCAGCAGTTTAAGACGGGCCTGGCCAACATGGTAAAACCCCATTTGCACTAAAACTACCAAAATTAGCTGGGCATGGTGCCTCATGCCTATAATCCCAGCTACTCAGGAGGCTGAGGCACAAGAATCACTTGAACCCAGGACGTGAAAGTTGCAGTCAGCTGAGATCACACCACTGTCCAGCCTGGGCAACAGAGCAAGACTCTGTCTCAGAAAAATAAATTTAAAAAATTTTAAATGTCCTTGTAGACCACTAAGTTATCATGTAATCATAAGGTTACTCCTAAACATAAGCATTGCCTTTTTCTAGACTACCTTCAGATTTTGTTTGCCTTGTTCTCTAACTGTTCAGAGCCTGCCACACATATGCACTCAATAAATATTTGCTGAGTGAGTGAATGAATGAATGGATCGCTTTGGGCAATTCAGCCAGTCTGTCAATTATTTGTTGGACATTTACCACATGCCAGGTACTATGTACCCTGGGGTTAAAACAATGAATCTGAAAAATCTCTTTCCTCATGAAGCTTATATTTTAAGGATAGAGACAAACAGTAAAACAAAAAAAAGTAGAATACTGACTAGAATAATTGTAAATTGTGATAATGGATATGAAGTAGTAGACACTGATAGAAGGGGTGCCTGCTGTGGCTAGGGTGGTCATAAAAATGACTTCCAAGGTGATACTCTGCCCCTTCCCTAAAGGAAGACAAGTGGAAGTTACCAGGCCAAGAGCCTGGGAGGAGCTTTTAAGCAAAGGACAGGGTTGGCGAGTTCTGGGAAAGGACAGCAGGGTAGCATGGCTGGTGGCATAGTAAGTGTAAGTGAGGCATGCAGGGTCACATTATTTAGGGCCTTGCAGGCCTCTGGGAGTTTAGATGCTGTTTTCAGTGCAATGAAGAGAAACCATTGAAGGAATTTAAGCAGAGGAGTGACATTGTAGAAAGATCATTCTTGGTGCTGGATGGAGAAGGTATTGGCAGTGGAAGCAAATCAGGACATTTACTGTTTTGATCAAGGATTTTATAGGTAGTGAAGCCTAAGAGACATGAGAAAAATGAGAATCTCCAGCTCTTACCACCTGTCACATTCTGTTGGGTTAAGTGTCTGTGCTGAGTGGATGGTAATAAAATGGCCAGGGCTTACTCCATGTTGAGCCTAAGGTTTAAAAAGATATTCTGGGCCAGGCGCAGTAGTTCAAGCCTGTAATCCCAGCACTGGGAGGCCGAGGTGGATGGATCACCTGAGGTAAAGAGTTTGCAACCAGCCTGGCCAACATAGTAAAACCCTCTCTCTACTGAAAATACGAAAATTAGCTGGGCGTGGTGGTGGGCACCTGTAATCCCAGCTAGCTGGGAGGCTGAGGCAGGAGAATCGTTTGAACCCAGGAAGCGAAAATTGAAGTGAGCTGAGATTGTGCCATTGCACTCCAGCCTGGGCAACAAGAACAAAACTCTGTCTCAAAAAAAAAAAAAAAGCAACAGATATTCTGAAGAACAAATGACTTTTGGAAGCTTTTGACATTACTGTAGAAACCTGTCTTGAAACAGTGGTCTTTTGGCTTCAGGGCAACCTGTTATTTGGTCTCTTTTCTAGCTCTGTTTTGGTTCTTTCCTCTTACCTCCTGTGATCACCTGATAGCACACATTTCTTAAAATTCACACTTGAACTTGACTTTCCTCTTTCCACTTTCTTTCCTTCAGTAAACTGACCTTGTCTCAGCTTAGCAAGTTTGCTCTTGAAGCTTTGATTGGAAGCACCAATGGGACCTTTAAATAAGAAGTTTCCTTAAGCAGTTGGAGGTGTGAATGTCCCTCCAAAAGAAGCAGCTGGACTCAGGAAATACTTTTAATATAAAGTTGCTTGGTAATATCATAGGAGATTCTGGTTCAGTAGGTCTGGGTAGTGCCTAGGAATCTGCTACTTGGCAAAGTCCCAAACCACTGCTATGGAAGTATTATAACCAACCAGGATACCAGATGTGCCCACCAAAGGCCAGAGTCCAACTCACTCATAGCGACTGTGTGTGCTTTTATAAATCCAGGCAGTGTCAGATACACACCACCCTTCCTCCCTGACCCCTCAGGAGAACAGAGCCCTTACTGAGGTCATAAATTGTGCAGTTTAGAAGCTATGTAGTTTCAGAAGAGAAGAAAAAAATGTAAAAAGCCAGAGGTGATCTTAGAAAAAAACTAGTAGAACTTCCGAATTTGGAGCAGTAAGGGAGTTAGTAAAATAGTTCAATATTAGTATAAATCTATTTATTTGGGCATTGCTTTCTTCCCCACACTCAGCTGAGGAAGTGCTAGGTAAAGAAGAACCTTCAATGAAAGGAAAAGAAGTAGGTCTTTTCGGATCATGAGATTCTGCAGGTGGAGACGGTCCGGCCAGCTTGGTGACAGACACATTGGGACTGGTGAGAGGGGTTTCCTTTATGGATAGAGAGGAATGCAGCAAGGCATAAGGATAGTGCCAGAGAAAACTGTGGCTGTTTATTAAATTCTGTGTAAAGACAGCCCTCAGCTCCCATTCTACTGGGACACATGGTCTGTGTGGCCAAGACCAGAACTCTGCCCAGAACCATGAATGTGCAACACTAATTCAGGCATATTGTGTGTTAAATAGTGTTCTGTGGGCTGATGGGGGGCGGCTAATTCCATTCTTAGAGAAAACTGTTTCAATAGTAAAAATGT